TTGGCACCATCTCCGCCATCCGCCACTTCCGCCGGCAGGTGGGGCGGGGACGCCGCAGCCCCAGCCCCTAGCCCATGGCTGGGGCGCTGTGGACACAGGCGCAGACGGCCACCCTTGCGGCCCAGGGCTGGCCCTTTGACCCTGTGTGCTCCAGTGTCCAGGAGGGGCCGGGGCAGTGGCACCTTGGACGTCACCTGAGATCCAGCTGGTGGCCAAGGCCGCGGCTGCACCCTTGCTGAGTCTGGGGGGCAGGAATGGTGGGGAGCTGGTTTGGGGGGTGTCCGGGAAGCACCAGGAGCGGGCCAGGACGCCTGGGCCAGGCGTGCACGAGGCCACTGCCTCAGGGGTCCCCGGGGGGCTGCCAGACGCTGGGCTGGTGTCCTGCGTCTGCTCAGGGCGGGGGCAGGACGGGGCCCTGGGCATCAGGGCGCTGGTGGCCTGTCTGAAGTGGGTCTGGGCTGGGGGGCAGGACTTTGCCCCAGTTGCAGATGGACTGGGCAGGGTGGACAGCGGGGGGCCAGGCCGGGCCGTGGGCGGGGCCTGGGGTCTTCTGGGAGCCTGATGAGAGGCAGAGCAGGTGTTGTCAGATGGGAGCCGGATGTGGCAGCGGCGGCTGGGCGTCAGGAGCCCGGGGACAGAGTGGACGCCCGCACCAGTAAAGCTCCTTCTCCGTCTCTGTTTAGTGTTTTCTTTCTTTGAGGGGTTTCTTCCTGTCGGAGACCCCCTTCCCCCACACACCTCCATACCGCCGCCCACCTGCACCCGTGGCAGTGGGCTGTTGACCTGGCCGGCCTGACACGAGGCAGACTGCAGCCTCACGGCCTCTGCGCCCCGGGGCGAAGCCCTGTTCCTGGGGTTGGAGCTGGGATCTGGCCCTGGGGCACCCCGCGTGGGGGCCAGCCACCGGGGCAGGCCCCCCTCCCGCCCCTCATGACATCGGGGCCCTGGACAGCCCTCCACCCTGGGGTCAGACACGGCCAGCATAGGGCAGGGTGCTGATGGGTCTGGGGCCCCACTGGCCCCTGCAGCGGGCGCTGGCCCCTCCAGGCGACTGCTGCCCCTGCAGGCGGTCCTGAGAAGCAGCTCGGGTGTCAGATCCACTGGACGAGCCCCCCCCCAGCTTCGGGGGCTCTGAGGCGGGGCCACCGCTGATGGGGGGGGGATGGGGCCTTGCCCCAGAGGCTGTCGATGCTGATGGAGGACCGGCCATCTGGTGGGGAGGGCAGAGATGCTGTGCTTTGGGAGGTTCACCGCGGGCCCCCCGGACTGAGTGGCCCCACTCACCTGGGGGGAGCTGCAGGGCGCGGGCTGAGCCTTCCCTCGCAGGGCAGACCTGGGGCCCAAGCACAGTCTGAGGGCCGGCGGGCCGCAGGAAGGGGCCGCCCAGCCCCACACTGCCCACCCCGCCCACGCCCACCTGCCCCTCCTCCGCAAGCTCCGGGCTTGGGGTGCTACTCACAAGCCGAGGGGAGTCCGGGGGTGGTGGTCCCTGACCCTTGACAGAGCCTTGGTGCCACTGACAGGCTCGGGACTGCGGGGCTCCCTTCTCGAGGCGTCTGGAGCTGGGGTCAGAGACGGGCACCGACACGGGGACCGCGGAGCATGGGCTGGGGGGCTCCGGCCCCAGCGCCTTCTGCATGGCAACGAGGAACTGCCAAGGAGGTGCCGGTCACCCTCGCCGTGTGGGCCTCGTGGGCAGGCGCCAGCCTGGCCTCTCCGCCAGCCTGCACGGACCTGGCTCCAGTGAGCTCTGACCCTGGCGGGGACCCGCGGCCCAGGCCCAGGGCCCCGGCTGACCCCACTGCGGAGCCCCCAGCAGCCCGGGGACTGACCTCGTCCAGGCCCCGCACGTCTGTGACCTTGTGATGGGACGTGGCGGGGGGTGTGTAGGGGTCGGCGTAGAGCGGAGAGCGTGGTGTGACAGGAGGGCCAGCAGGGGCCTCCGGGCCAGCATCCAGGGTCAGCTGCGGCGGGAGCGGAGGCTAGTTTTTGGAGCCCAGCCCCCCCCACCTCTCCGGGCGCTCAGCAGGGCCCACCTTGGTCAGGTCCAGGTGCAACGGGGGCCCCGGGGCCTTGCCGCGGGGTGAGCGGTGGCTACCGCCCCGCCTCAGCTCTGCTCTCTGTCGTCCGATGCTGGCGCAGCCGGGGTCCTCCTGGTCCTGTGGGCACCGAGGGCCTCCGAAGGTCCCGGGCCCTCCCACACAGCCCTGGGCGGACTCGGAGCCCGCCCACCAGGGAGCCCTGTGCGGAGGGCTGGGGTCCTGCTCCGGCGGGGGCGGGGGCGCGGGCGGGCCCAGTAACCCCAGCTCGACCCGCCTCGCCTCGGGGCCCCTGACCCTTCCCCTCACTCACCGGTGTGGGCGCCAGCGCGCGGCTTGGGGCGGGCGTGGCTGAGGCCTCCGGGAGGGAGCGGCTGGTGCGGGTGCAGGGGAGTGCGGGGCACC